TGTATTGATCTAACCAAGCATAATTAAATTTTCTTCGCAAATGACTGGCATCGGCTGCAAAATCGTAATTCTTGGGTGGAACCCACGGATTTTTTAACAACTCTTTTTTTCTTTCCATCGTCAGGTGAAATGTTTGTCCTACATAACGACCCAAGTCATTTTCGTGGCAACCATCATTCTCTTCAATTTCGGGATTGACTACAGAGCCAGATGTTGACGGTAAAGATTCTAAATTAGGAGCAGTGACTTTCTTAGATCTCAAAGAATTTAGCGGTTGCTCAGATTCAGATTCAGTTTTAGATGGGCTTGGCGATGAAATTTGATCATTGTTATCATCGCTCCCGCTGCTACTGTCATGTTCTTTTTTCCTCTTGAGAGTTTTAGTAGCTGCAAAACACAATAATGCCGCTATTAGTATTTTATACAGTGTGAGTGATATCCATGTTAGTGTTTTGTTTAACATGTAACATGGAAAAAAACATTTTGTTTTTTTTAATTGGAATTTACAGATATTACACAAATGTCGTCGAATGTTACTTACTAACTGTAACTTACCTGTTTGAAAAAATTTCCTGATATCCATTTATCAGTGTGGAGATACCGAGATGCCCGAAATAGGTAGATTCAGCAGATTTTCCAATAAGTACTGTAACGTTTTTAGCGTGAACTTGTTCGACTACGATGTGATAAAAGCTGCCAATTAATTAAAACTATACTTTTATTAACACTTAACTAAAATTCACTCTGATTAATTTAACTAAACACACTAACTAGTTTATGTAACGCCTTGTATCTTGTATTTATTTATAAAAGTATTCTATTCTTCAACCCGGCACTGGCGAAATCTGCCCTCGCCGCCCGACATTGTTCCTTTTATATCCGAAGCGCCTGCTTCTCGAAGATTCTCTCCGCAGCACGTACGAAGCTTCGCGCTGCGTCTCGAGAATTCTCCACGCGGCCGGGAAGAGTCAGAGGCGGACTCAGGGTAATTTCGTTACAATCTAATATAAATTTCTGACAATGTTTACTAGTGTAACGTAACTGCTAACAACATAGCATAGACGTTTATCAACAACTAAGTAAATTAAGTTTACTTGCAGTACTTGCACAAACAAATTAACATTGAATAACAAATGAAAATAATCGAATTCCGTTAGAAAAACAACACAATACAACAAATTCGCAGGGGCCAGGATCGTAATAGAAAATTCATATTTCTAATTCCGCTAATTGCAAATCTAGTAGGCTGTGCAGTGCGCTGCGTTTGACTTACGTAGGTATATGAATATATTTTAGTAGTATTTAGTAGTACATATATTTTTCGGGTTTGTAATTTTTTTAGTAAAACCATAGTGGTTTATTTTGATTTTTTTATTTTCTGCACTTAGCGGAGCCTTTTTATAATTTATAAAAATTTTTAGGGGGGGGGGCAGTTGCCCCCCCCTGCCCCTCTCTGGGTACGCCCTTGGTTTGCACCGACCGATAAGTATTTCTTAAAATGACATTTTTACATGGAGAAACTTCATTTCAAGGAATACGTATTGCTAAGGCTTCCTTAAAATAGTCGGTGCAAACGACCATTAATGTATGGAATTAAAAACCCTCCAAAATAATGTATTAGAGTAGGCGCTACAAGTGGTTGAGTAGGTATGGTATGCAAAATGTGAGGACCGGCAAAAATGCTCAAATTTGTATTCCTGTGATCCTAAAGAATGGGAAAGTACATCTTGCCGGTAGCTGGAGTGGTCCCTAACTCTCCTGCCTCCCCCCAATGCCAAGTTATATTGAAAATATCACAATTTTAAGTCATTTCACAATAATTCCTATTGATTGTACCTAAGGCTTTTTTTCAAGCATGCAAAATAAATTACCTACCACTTGATGGATATCTTTGCAATTCTGCTCCAAAATATACCCAAGTGAAAGAAGACTGCGAGATGTACAGGGGCTTATTTTTGACCTTTCCTGTTCTTGTAGTTTTGAAAAAATTCAAAATAGCTAATTGTTTTTTTTTTCTGGAGAATTCAAAAATGGTACCAAAAAATCATTTGAACTAAAAACTAAAGAGTTACGCCATTGATGAACTGTTTTTCAAATGGAATAATTTCTGGAAAAGTCGCATTTTTAACGTCTTTTCTTTTGAAAATATTTGATATTCTGATAGCTATTTTTATTTTATTTTAATGTTTTATCCTTAATAATTTTAGCTTAACCTGTTCAATACATCTGTGATGGCGACAAAATACAAAATATGTCAAATTCCCTTTGACTTTGAACAAAAGGTGATTATACATTTGTCGCCTATGAACCTATTAAATTGAAAAGAAAAAGCTAGAATCATTAAGCATGAAACATTAAAATGGAATAAAAAGAGCGAAATATCAAATATTTTCAACAGAATAGACGTAAAAATGCGACTTTTCCAAAAATCATAAAACTACAGGGCGTTTCATTTGAAAACAGTTCACCCGTTCACCCATGGCGTAACTCTTTAGTTTTTGGTTCGAAAGATTTTTTTGTACCATTTTTGAATTCCCCAGAAAAACATATTTTTTCTACAACTGTCAAAAAATGATGATGTTCGCACACTCATGACAGTTTGCCAAGTGACACTTTTTTTCCCAGGTATTGATTTTTTAACGTTCCCATGACGCCGTGCGCGAACTTGATATTTCGCGCACGTGTGCGCGAAATAGCTAGTTCGCACACTGGGTGTCATGGTGACACATACCTCTCAGGAAATCAAAAATAATTAAAATTCACCTACCTTTGATTGAAAATGCAATTTTGGCTTCGAATGATTGATATTTAAATGGAGTTGTAGAAAAAATATTGTTTGCAACTCGGGCGCGAAATACAAAGTAGCATTTCGCGCCCTTGATACAAAAATAACTATTAAATGGCTATTATGGATTTTCTCAAAAATACAGGGAAAGTTGAAAATTTGACTCTGTTCAGTCCTCGTTGGATGAACCTGCACATCTGTGGAGGATTTGACGATCCAACAAAATGTTTCAAGCTAAAATGGTTTTCATTCTGTGAAGTACTTTAATAAAAATCAAATCGTTCAGAAGCTGATTCAAGAATGTTTTATGACATATTTCATGCTGTAAAAATTCAAGTTGCACATGTTATTATCCTTAAGTGTTGATCAGGTTGTATTTATCCTGGGGATATATTACTCGAAAGAACTAACAACTATTGGTTGTCTAGGTCTATGGTAGGATGCCACTGAATATGTAACATTTTACCAGCATTACATTTGGAAAGTGGTTTGCGATCATACCAGTTTTTTGAAGCTGTATGCGTAGATTTTTCACAAAAAGCCTTAGAATATTTGGGAAACCTCTTCATCTAAATGCTGAACAACTAAAACAGAAACAGTCTACCCCTTTTTTTTAAAAAAAAACTAACTGCTGATTTCCCAAAACATGGGTTTCGGCTTCAACTTAATGAAAATAATATCTAAGTCAGATGCTTTACATTTGCATTTGTTACGGGCAGACAGTGCTCAGGCAGGTAGAGTACAAATTTTTTTAAATAAATCTTTTTTGAAACTATTTATTCTATTTATTGTTTACTTCATGGTTTTTTGTTGTTAATTTTGAACACACGACTCCTCGGATTTCGGCCCCATGCTCCAGTAAACTTTTAAATAATAATAATAAATGCACTGCTGTAGCTATGTCACCATACCTCTAGAGAGCGGATACCCAGGGTCGTGAGTTGAAATCCCACTAGCAATGGCAAATTTTGACAGACTTTTTTTTATTTGAAACCCTGTCGTCTTCTTGACCATAAGAGAAAACTGAATTAGAATTATGATAGTCATTAAAATCATATAGATAGCATATGCTCCATGGAGAGAGGGTAAAAAAATGGACCAAAAAATTAACCGGCAAGAATTGGATTATTATTCTTTGAACTTTTCTCAGCAATCTCAGCTACCATCTATTGATAAAATGCGGTCCTCACATTTTCCATACTCATATCCGTCTAACTCCCGGTCTAACTGAACGATACAGCATCTGATTGGGCTCGGAAGAGCGCAACATTTTTCCCATTCAACCAAAATTGTATTTCTTACCGTTTCAGAAATCCCCATGTAGTTACTTTTACCTGGGACACCCTGTATATGAAGTATTTTCTTGAATAGTGTCTTCCTTCAACTCTCCTTGTAGCACTTCCTAAAAATCATTGGCTATAGAGTTAGGAGATCTGTAGCATGTACCAACTATAACTGTATTTAGATCGATATGAATTTTGAGGATTAACATCCAATAGGTACGAGTTACTGATTCATTACACAGTACTTAAATTCCAAAACAATTATTAAGATAAATCACAGACTCAATCTGAAGCCTTGTATCTATTTTTTTCCCTACTTTCTCCGTATACCTCTCCTCGATTCCTTCTCCATCCCTTACCACTTGCATGATGCGCCTCTAGACTGGGAAGTGATATAGCGGAGTTTTTCTCACTATAGGAGAGTTGAATCTAGAATAGTTGGGCTTTCTATCAGCGGATTTGTCTCATGTGTCGCCCAATGCATCATTCTAGGTACATTTACACAAACAGTATAACTGCTTTGAGATTGAGCCATTTGACAATAATAATTTTGATCATAGAATATAAGCAATAATAAACTTTCCAGGAAGAAGGCCCCAAACTTGGCCTTACCTTTTCTTTCCAGTTGTTTTCTTTTGATTTGAAGCCCTCCCCTTGATATACGTTTTTTCAGTTATAAGCTCTAATCCTTGACAAACCCACCCAGAATAATTGTAGTTCGTGTACTAGCATACTAGCAACAGTAATTTACTAATTTCTATTTATTAATTCTTATCATCAATATTAACAAAATAAAATCGTTTCAAAAAAGAAAATAAATATATGTTGGTAAGTTTAATAACGCTTGTCCTGCTACATGCTACAAAAATCTTAGCAAAAAATATATGCAACCCTTTTCTGTCCATATTTCAATTTTTTTCAACTATTTTTAGAAAACGATATGCCAAGCTCCAAAAAGACCTAGAAGAAGCTTGCAAAGATACCAAAGATTTGTGTTCGAAAGACATTCAAGAGGGTTATGGACCTCTCAGTCAATCCACATTGCCTTCTAGGGTGCATGCGAAATTTGTAAGTGAATTTTTTCAAAATCTGGATCTATTATTTTATTATTTTTTTTTAAATTAGGATGCACATGAAGGCGAAGTTAATGCAGTAAAGTGGAGTCCTCTAGATCGGTTAGTAGCCACAGGAGGTGCCGACAGAAAAGTGAAGCTTTGGGACATTTCGAAAGGTCAGTCTAAAACTGCATGAAATATCATTTGGTCGTTAGGATTGCTGGATTTAAATCTAGCTTTGAGGGAAGCTAGATTGATATCAGCAATATTTCATTTGGAGCTTCTGTTCAAAGAACGGGCTTTCGTTATTTTCATTTTGCCATAGAGGGGCTTTTTTATTTTATTTTTGTTTGGCTGTTTAATAAATTTATTTTGGAAAGTAATCGTGTAGTGTGTTTGTTTAGTAGTTCTTTGTTGTCCTTCCATTTTATCCTTAATCATTGACACTTTAATGTAGAAAAAGTCATCGTTGCGTTGCATTACTTTATACATGCATTCATTGAGAACTTATTCATTTACAAAAGACAAACTTTGTTTCTTTACGGACTGGCTTATTCATCGTCGGATAAACTTGCTGGTAACTATCTGCAGCAATTTACAGTTCTATAATTCTACTGGTCGTTGGATGTTGGATAACTAGCCGACCAATGGGATCACAGATCGCGATTTTATCTGTCAGATTGCATACCTAGGTTTATCAAAAGTTGAATAAACTAGCCCTTAAAATCTGATTTGTGACTGATGACTGTAGTAGGTAGTATTCAGGAAATGATAAAGTTATTGTTAGGTTCTTGTGTAGAAATCGTTAGAACCATTTCATAAGCCGATTTTCACACAACGAGAATTGCTATAAAGAACTAAGTTTGGGTGCTAATTTTTCCTCATTATTGCTAAATACTGGCTGCTTAAACAGGAAGTTATTTCAATCAGCTTCAGAGCTTGGCATGTATTCTGTACCATATTCTTATGTTTTCAAAGCTTTTCACTCGTTTATTAGACAAAAAATTGAGCACTAATATATATTTTTTTAATATGTATTTCTTTAATTTTTTAAACTATTTCTAAAGTTTCAAGTGAAATGTGTAGCTTTAAGCCTCTAGGTTTCGAAGCTTTTTTTGAGAACATGTAGCGAATGAGATCTATTATTATTGAAATTGTAGTCCAAGCTTAATTAATATACTTGTAATCCATCACATCAGGCATTTTTTATGATTGCTTACAAAAAACTCCATTCTCAAACATCACCAACCTGTTTTGGTTTCTTCACATTCCAAATCTCCCATTGATTGATTGATTGATAATTCGTGCTAAATTAAATTCATTGCACTTATCCATTAAAACCACTTGCCATATTGTAATATAATGTGGCATTTTTCCCTGCAGGATCCCAAGAAAGTCGGGGAATTTTGGTCGGAAGTAATGCTGGTGTGATGGCCGTCGATTTCGACACTTCAGGGACGCTGGTTTTAGGGGCTTCTAATGACTACGCTACCAGAGTGTGGACGGTGGTCGACCAAAGATTAAGGGTAAGTTTCGATCTAACGCAAAGGTAATAAAGGACCTTGCACACTTATTATGGGATTTCTGACTGTGGTCAAATTTAACCAAATTTAAGTATGTTAAAGATCTCACCTTTCTGATCAATAACTACCATGGGCGCAACTTAATCCTATGGCTAGTTTTTGAGATACAGAGTGTTCAATGTGTGATTGTCCAATATGCATTATGACTTTATGACACCCTATTCAATCAGCCAAATCATATTTGTGTGAGAATTCGGTCAAGGCACAGAAATCCAGTAAAATACCAATAAGTTATTTCGTATAATCCAGAACATGTAGCTGATGAAAATATTGAGCAATAAAATGGGCCTATATTAGGTCACTATTGGTCGCAACTGTCATTTGGTTTTTGGGATATGTAGATATTTCAATTTTTTGTAAACAATTGTAAATAGACAGTATACTATTATTCTATTCTTATTTTTAGTTATTATAGCTCCTGCATTTCTAACCGGTTGTTTGGTACAGCCTGTATACTATAATTAATAATAAAATTATTGATAATTATTGTAATAAAAGCTATAATATTTATAGAAAATGCATTTCAGGTGTCCTAATGCATATTGAATGTTCACATATTGAACACCCTGTATCTCAAAAACTAGTCATAGGATTAAGTTGTGCTCATGGTAGTTATTGATTAGAAAGGTCAGATCTAACATACTAAAATTTGGTTAAATTTGACCGCGGTCAAAAATCCCATAAGAAGGGTGCGGGAGGATCCTTTGAAAATCAGTTATTGGCAATGAAGATGTAATTTCTCACAATCCAAAAACTAAATGCTAGTTCATGTCGATGTGTATTTTTGTGGGAAAAGAGAACATCTGCTGTTATCGGCCAGGAAGAAATAAGGTTAATCTTGATCTACAGGGTGTTTAAGTGGGATATAACAATAAATAGTACTCATTGAAATAAGAAAAAAGTTAATAGAAACATAGGTCCGCAAATGCTTAGGTAGTTTTCAAAATACAGGGTGTCAATGCCTGAAAAAATTTCTTTAAACTTGGTAGATTTGTTTGTAATAACAAATAACAAAAGGTATCTTTTGACTCATAGGCGCCGGAGCCATGGGAGCAATGGGGCTTGAGCCCCCGTAGTGAATTAACTATGGGGGCGGAGCCCCCATAGTGATTTTAGCATCGTATGTAGTGGGTGTAGTGAGTAGGTACAAAAATATTGAGTTCCTGATCCTAACATTCCTTACTATTTATTTTTATATCAAACTTGTGCGTTTTATGTTTTTGTTGTTTTTGCTATACCCACTTTGAAAAACAGTTCGAATATTTTTTCGTTTAGTAAAGTAAATTTTGGGGGCCTTAATATAAAAAGCTTAGATGACGAAAAGGCAATCATGTACATACCCATTATGTACCCAACATAACGGATCTCTTGAAAAGGCTGGGACGCTGCCAGTATTTCACCGCCTTAGATTTAGCTAGCGGCTTCCACCAGATCCAGATGCATGAAAACGACATCGAAAAAACCGCATTCAGCACAGAAAAGGGGCATAATGAGTTCTTGCGCATGCCTTTTGATTTGAGAACGCACCGGCTACATTCCAAAGATTTATGGATGATATTCTATATCCCAATATATTGAGCAACTTTAACACCGAAAGATGGAACATCCCATCAATAATAGTTATTCATTATAAGTACAAGGGAAAAAATTATTACATTTTAGAGCGATATGTGGTTTGCCTCCTGTCGCGAAGCGGAGGAAAACAACAAGAAGGTGGCCAAAGAGCGATGGGAATCCTGGAGGTGGAACAGGGGAAATCGTGATATTTCGTTCTCTATTCAACCTTAGAGTTTTTCTAGACATTTCATTCTATTGCATTAAAATTGGCCTGTGTTGACCTATCAAACTTGTATATAAGTAGTTCATTTTTTGGCCATGCCATTAGCTTATTTATAAGTTTGTTTCGTGCCATAAGTTGAGTTTTTTAAAATTTGTTTTCAATGAAAGCGAGGCATCACAGCGAGGGAGTGTGTTGATTTCAGTCCATATAAGTAACGTTCTACTATAAATTTTCATCAAAATTTGTTAAAATAGCCGCATTGCCGCTTGCCCTCATCATTAGAAGTCCCAAAAATACCGTGAAAAGACCCAAAAATTTCGCAGCTGCGGCGTTTTTCTTCCTGCAGCGCTTGCGGCGAAGTTGCCACTGCTTTAAGGATAACTTCCTGCAAATTTGCCCCTCCCCCCTCCAAGACCAAATCCTGACTACGCCAATGGTGCTGTCGAAGCCGAGTATAGCCGAGATGCCGAAGATATACGAATTTCAATAATATGAAGGAACCTGCGGGGACGATCAATGATCTAGCGTGGCGATCCTGCAGTGAAATGGGTATCTGTCAACTGGTCCCATTTAAGTCTACGTGTCTAGTAGCTTAGTCCTGTCTGTCTAATTATTTCTACCTATGTTAATTTTTGGAGCCCAAGCCCCCATAGTAATTTTGACATTCCGGCGCCTATGTTTGACTCAATTAGATTTAATTCAAAAGAAAAACTCAAAGTCTTCCTTCACAAATACTTTAATCGTTTTAAATGGCCGTTTCGGGATCCGTAAATTCCATCATCAGGGGCAATAAATTAGCTCACATATTACCAGGTTTGGATACCGTAGGCTGACAGATTATGCTACAAAAAATTTAAGGAGTTTAGGTTTAAATTAGGACTTACCATTTTGTAGAGGAACAAAAATTAAAAAATAAGTTCTCTCTCTCTCTCTCTCTCTTTCTCCTTTAATTTTAATATTAACACTCCTGTGATTGGTTTTTTAATCGGATATAACTTTATATATTCAGTAAACATATTAAGTACCACAAATATATACTTTAATCCTGCCGTTGATGCTGGTAATGGTCCAAATATATCTACTGCTAAAAGGTCATTTTCGTCTTTGGGTATAATGGATCGCATTTCACTCACAACAGCGGATATTTAGACTACTAACAAAGCTCACAACATTTAATTATTTTTTCCACTGTATTTTTCATATTTTTCCAGTAGAAAAGTTATACGTCTTCCACACTGCAAAATGTCCATACTGCTCATGGTAATGCTCACTTAAATCTTGTGTTAGGACCGCTGGTACCGACATTCTCCATATCTTACAGTTTTTATCAGAGCAAAATAATATTTCATGTAACATATAGCCCCCCACTGCGTCATTCTTTCTCAGTTTCTAGATCATTTGTTTAAATGTTCATCTTTTTCTTGCTGGACTTAAGTTTTTTCAAAATTTTCCTTAGTTCTTTGTCTTCCAGGATTTTAATATCCGCAATCTTAATTGCTTTCCACCTTGCTGTTCATACGGGTATCTTGATAAAGTATCTGCAATGACGTTATTACCTCTCGAAACATGTTTTATTATAAAGTTTTTTTTTTAACTGCTATTTGGCTCTGCTTCAAGTAGGGCAATTTATCAGCACATTTGTGTGTATCCAGAGAGCTGTCTGGTTCTAGTCCATGCCCCAGACACAGGTTATTCCCAAATCCAGTCTTCAAACTTTTCACTTGTAGTATCATCGACCATAAGTCAAAATGCTGTCAACCAATCTTTAAATCTGGGCGTTAGGTGCTTTCTTCTTTCTTCCTGTGAGGAGTAAGTTGAGGTTGTCAGAACATA